CATAATAATCAACTACATTGTATATTGACAAAATAAAAATAATTTAAAAAAAATTTTTTTTAAAAGAAAAAAAAAAGAAATAGTTACAGATATGTTAAAAGATATTCATCTCAGAGTGGTCGATTGTTCTGAAAATGCTGGGAATTCCTAGATATCCAACAATAAGTGCTGGGCTAAATAAATTCTTATTCATCTGTAGTATGGAAAACTGCAGCAATTAAAACTTACTTTGTCAAAGTATCTGGTAATATGGGAAAATTCTCACAGCATACTGTTAAGTAAAACAGGCATGTTTCAAAATATCATATCATTAAAACAGTTTATATGTACAGGAAGATATGCTCACACACACACACACACACTGACACCCCGTGGGTAATGAGCCTAAGGAGGCAGCTGGCCCCGGCTGGTGCAGGCTCAGGCATCTGGGTTTATAGATTAAGTGCTTTTTGGGATTATGTACCGACCGGAGGGTGACGGGGAACCAAAAGGGGTTACAGTCTGATCATGTACCTAATCTTATCTGCCTCCTATTTCCTTTTCTGTCTCAGAAATTACATGTCTGAATGAGCACTGTCCCCTTAAAAGTAATCACTTCAGGAGGTTGACCATTTATTATATTTTTGTAAGTTAATGTTCTTCCCTTCACAGCTGTTGTCTGGGGAACTGGGGTTATCCAGGCTGCCAACTTTCTTCCAAGGATGCTGCTGTTGCTCAGATTATTTTGGAATTTCTTGGAAATTGCTCCCAGAGTCAGTTTAGTCTTGTTACTTTTGAGTTACATGGTATTCAGGACCAGGATTATATTATCTGGGTTAGCCATCTAGCTGATTCACTGGACTTGGCTTCCACCTAACTGTGGCTGTTTTCCAAACATCAAATCTTCGTCAAAGGACAAAGATTTGCCCCTTTTGAGGGGGCAGGATATGCAGGCTCTGAGGGGAGTGGAGTGTTCCTGAAAGCCACAGCAGCATCCTTGAGAGAGTGCTGGCAGTGCTGGGGTAACCTGAGCCAAGACCTGAAGAAGATGAGGAAAAGAACCATGTGGATGTGACCACGATAGTGAAAAGGATTTAGAAATAGGGGGAGAAAGCCTCTGTGGCCACTGCAGCCCCGCGCGCATCCCGCAGGCACATTCGTACCTGACCGCAGCCCAGTGTGCGCGCCATTCGCATTTAGCTACCTCATTGCTACAGCAAATAGTTCCCCATGTTTTTTTCACAGTCTTTATAATTATAATATTAATAAACGCATAATATTTGCTTAAATCAATGTCTCATGATTCCCTGAACCCAGCCCCGATCATGAGTTGTTTCTTGTTTTTTCACAGCAGCAGGTGAGTCTGCAGTACCTACCAGTCAATGATTCTTTGCTTTGGTTGCTTTATTTCCTTAGTATAAAGTCCCAGAAGGGTGAGAACATGGTCAAAGGGAATGAATGCTTCTATAGCCTTTGCTATATAATGCAGTCTTGTTTTCCTAAGTGGACAATGTCAATTTCTAGGTCTAAGACTCAGACTATTAAAAATTCTGTTCCTGGGGCTGGCCCGATGGCGCACTGCTACAGTGCGCCGCTTGGGTGCGCGGCGGCGCTCCCCCCGAGGGTTCGGATCCCACATACAGACCAGCCGCTCACTGGCTGAGCGAGGTGCGGGCGCAACACTGAGGGTTGCGATCCTGTTGCCGGTCACGAAAAAAAGACAAAAAGGAAAAAAAAAAAAAATTCTGTTCCTACTACACCTAATTGATAACTCCTGATAATGCCCTCTCAGTCCCACCCCGCCCCAGCCTTCACATAAAGATAAATACTGCAGCTAGAAAGATCCAGACTATCAGGGTGGGGAGATCTAATGGTGGTGGGGAGCCCCCAAAGCGCAGCACCCACCCAGCCCAATGCACAAGACAAGGGCCACACTCACGTGAGCTCTGGGTAGACGTTCTCCAGGTACCAGCGGAAGGACTTGCAGTTCATCTTCTTCCTCTGCTCAATCCGCATGGCCACACTGAAGAAGGAGACAAGGTTCGGGCACTGGCCAGCCAGCAGGCAGGATGCAGAGGATCCTTCTCAGGCCCCAGGAGGGCAAGGTCCAGGAGCCGTCCCAGCTGCCCTCCAGCCTTGGCCACACTTGCTTTATACTTCCCTGACCTGCAAGCTCACCAGGCCTCCTAGTGACTCCTCCTTCCTCTCCCCAAATCCTGCTCTGAGCTCCCCTTTGAGGATGAACCCAAGCCCATAGGGGGACTTGAGACCTCAGTTCGCATACCATAAACTGGTCCTGACTTTTGCAGAGAGCAGAGAAAACTAGAAGTTTTCCTTTCCTGCATTCCAGTTTAGTAGAAAGAGTCCAACAACAACAAGAACAAGCTTTAAACATCTTTCAGGAGTTTTGGCAAATAAGAACCACCTGACGTGTCCTCAGGACACCCAAGTTCAATCACCCCACCTTCCTGAGCTACACCAACCATCACAGTCCTGGCTGAGGACCCTCGTCCCCACCTATCCAAGCCCAGTGTCTTCTGCATAAATGGGGACATGACTACTCACCTCGGAAGACTTGTGAGAATCGAATGAATTTAAGGGGACACGTGCTTAGCACAGGGTAAGTCCTCAGAAAATGAGTTCCCCATTAAAAGAAATATTTAGTGACATAACTTTTTTTTAAAGGATCAATAAAAACAGAGGGAAGAAGATTGACAGTCATTGATAATGTTTTCAAACTTTTCTGACCAAAACCTTAAGTAGAAGATATATATATCTTACACTGTGATCCGTGCACGTATACAGGTACGCGTGTGCATGCACACACACACACACACACACACACACACACACACACACTGAAGTAAGAGTTTCATAAAATAACACTTACCCTTAACTACAATCAATTCTTATTTTCTATTCTGTTCTGTACTAATCTAATCTATAGTGTTTTATTTCTCTCTCTCTCTCTTTTAAAGCTGGTCACGACCCACTAAATTGATGTTGCAACCCATCAGCATTTTGAAAATGCTTAGCTAGATTGTAGTCATAACAGTCCATGACAGGAAATTAGGCTAACATATCACAATTTTGAACAGTGGGTGGAGGCAAACCCCAAATGTTTTCCACAGACAGCCTTTCCTAAGTACTCCCATAGATGCCCCTTTTCCTGCAGGCAGCTGTGGGCAGGTGCCTTTTTTCACAAGTGAGGCTTCTCTTGTTATCTCTCCCCAGGAGACTGCATGTTCCTCAAGGACAAGGGTCTTGTCTCTATGTTGCATACCCTCCCAGGGCCCAGAGGGACCCATTAGAGTGGGAGCTCAGTTACCAGGAAGGCTGTGAGTGGTTCCCTGATGTACACCGCTCTGTGTTTTGCTGGGTTGTGCTAGCGTGGGTGGAGGGAGACAAACAGTGGAGCTGGGGGGACCCACCTGCCAAAGGCCTTGCCGATGGCTGAGGGCCGGGCCTCGTAGTAGTATTGCTTGTATTCATCCATCCACACCTCTGCAGTGCGCTTGGTATTCCTAAAAGGAGAGGAAAGAGCAGAATAAGGTCATCGGGGAGGCAACAGGGCTAGGGTCAGGATCAAGATGAGCTCTTATACAATTTTTGTTTGTCAATTAAAAATATATTTCTTTAAAAAGTGGCTGGTTAGCTCACTTGGTTAGAGCACAGTGTTATAATACCAACATCAAAGGGTTGGGTCACTGTACTGGCCAGCCACCAAAAAAAAAAAGAAAGAAAGAAAAGATGAACTCTGTGCAGTACAGGGTGATGAGAATCTCACGGTGTACACAAAACAATACTGACTGGGGTGGTATAAAACAGTACAATCTTTTTGGAGGAAAATCTGTCAATATCCATCAACTTTGTAGGTATATATACTCTTTGTCTCTCCACTTCAAGGAATCTATTCTACAGAAGTACCTGCATTTGAGCAAAAAGGACATGTACAAGAATATTTGTTTAACAAACCATTGGCAACAACCTAAATGCCCATCGATGATTAACTACTTCCACATGATGGAGTACGTACAAAGCAGCCTTGAAAAAGAATGCCATGGTTAGCATGTGCTGACATGGAAGGGTGCCTGTAACGTGGTGCTGAGTGACAGTAAAGCATGCTTCAGAGAACACATACAGCACGACCACATTCATATAAGAACAGAAACACAGACACCCACACTGTGTGAGTGTCTCTCCCTATGTATAAACTATGTGTATACGAAGATGCATTTAAAGGCTGAAATGATAGGCCAGCAATCTATGCACAGTAGTTATTTCTACAGAGACAAGTGGGAAACACAGGAGTAAGAATGGGTAAAAGGACTTCCATTTTTTTTCTCTATAATAAGAGAGCAAACATATAATATAAATATGTGTATATAATTATATTTGTACTGCTTGAATTTTTACAGTGAACATGTGTGACTTTTATAATTATAAAAACAATAAAAATGAGGTGGAGTGAAGCAAAACAAAACTCTAGTCCATCCCATTAGCTAGACTTGGGTAGTTGCCACTCCAAACTGTTGTGTGCCCTGCACAAAAAAGCTTGTCCTGATGAGATGAAGAATCACTCTAATAAGGAGGAGGTGCTCATGACAACTCCCTTTGCCACCCCCATCAGGAGTGTGGGTTAGAGGGTAGTCTTCCAGGACGCTGTCCCCTCCCCCTTGAGACCAGGCACCTTGTAGCTGGAGACATAAATGGACAGATGCTTGATGAAGTCAGAGTCGGGACACTGGCCTCCATGACTGGCACCTGGGGTCCAGTGAGTGGAGGGCAGCACTTAGTTGGCCACTTGGTTGGTTTTTCAAGACTCTCGAGGACAAAGGGAGTCAGGGCAAGAGGGACCTGGTGGCAATACTCCCAGCTTTCATTACTTTCACCCTGGGAGGTAACTGGAATCCCAGAATGGAAGATCTGGGGGGGGGATGGGGAAATTGAGGCCTGAGAAGTGGGCTGCCCAAGGTCACATGGTGAGTAACTGGTGGGGCTGGGGTCTAGAGCTGTGGGGTCCTGCTCCTAGTCCAGTGCTCTTTTCCACTGTGACCTACCTGATGTAGGTGAGGGCATTGCCCTCAGGGAAGTTGTAGGGGTGCCGTTTCCTGAAGACATGGCCCACCCTGCTGCAGGGGACGATTTCCAAACTCCCGCCGCACATCCACACCCGGAAGGAGAGTTCTGCAGGAGATGGCAGCATCAGGACTGGGAAGGGGCCCCTCGGCAAGTGAGTGTGGGAAGGGGCTGGCTTCCCTTCTCTTTGGAATCTCACTGGAGGTACATGCTGGGGTTGGATCTCCAGGGACTGTTTAAATGGAGGGCTCCCACTCCCTGCTCGTGTTCCTGACTGCTCACACCTCACATGCATGTGTGAGTGTGTGCGTGCATGCACACACACACACTCTTGCAGATGAGCCCCGGGAGAGCAGTGGGAAAAGCTTTGAAGGAACACCAAGAACATAAGTACAAGGAAAACTGCACCAAAGGGCAGCGTCATTTCCAGCCTCTGTCCAGAAATCCCTGGCCAGACATGAGCCATGGAAGAACATATCTGCTCGTCGGCCAGCTCTGGGCACTGGCGATGTCAGAAAACCAACCGCCAACCAAACCACAGGCTGCTCCAGCTGGCATCTTTCTGGCTGGCCCCAGCCCTCCCTCTTGGCCCCAATAGTGTTCATGTACAAGCTGTCACTGGCCCTCTTGAGACATGCTTCCTTTTGATGGTGGTGGTGGAGCTGAACAAGCTTTTGCAGGTGACTGTGGTCCCCAGCAGTGTTGGGAGATGGAAGAAGTGGTCATTCTGCTTCCTCAAAGGGAACATCATAGTTACCACTCTGTTCTCCACTCACCAGTTGCCATTTGTGGCAAGGACGCACCTTGGCAGCTGGCTGAATCTCACATAATCTCCTGATTTCCTACTTTCCTTAAGATTAACCCTATAGTTGGAGACTCTGTGATGTTAAAACACCTTCTTCCTGTCCCAGAAAATCCATAACCCTTTTTTTTTTTTAAATTACAAGAAAAAGACCATTCTCTCATGAGTTCCAGCCTTGGTCCCTCTTCCACTCTCCAGTTGGCCCTAAGGACACTTGTGGTTCCAGGCCATGCCTGGGGGCTCTTACCTGGCACAGCTGGTCAGGGCCCTCCCAGTGACTAGAGAAGGGGAAGTGTAGGAAGAAGGAGTAATGTCCACCTTGCTGCCAGCCTGTGTGTACCAGGCAATGTCCAGATGTGGCTCAGGGCCAGGACTGGAAACTTGACATACCTGGACCCACACACAGGCTGGCTATATTATTGGGCTTCGCCAGGTCTGCCCATAAACTGCCAGGCATCCGTCCCTCCTCCTGGTCAGAGCTCTGCAACTGGCCTCAGCAACTGAGGTTTAGAACTGGGGACAGGACCTGGGGGACAGATCCACATTCTGGCTCCACTTCTGCCAGACCAAGTTTCTTTTGCTAGTTAAGTCATTTCATCCCCCTCAGCCCATATTGTCCATGTTATTATTATTAACAATGTCAGTAACAATAGCAGTAACCACCATGCATTTACTGAGCATCATCCATTTACTGAGCATGACCTTTATACCCGATATCTATTTCTCAGTGCAACCATGTGAAGTCAATATTATTTTCCCTATGTTTTTAAATAACTGTGATGTTCAACGATGTTAAATAAACTCTCCAAGTTTGCCCAAATACTCAGTTGCCAAATTCCAACATAAATTTCACACTTTGTCCAGCAAGCTGCACTGCTTGAATCAGATTCTTTAATTCATTCAGCAATTTTTTATTGAGCATCTATTATACATCATACACTGTTCTAGATTCCCTTATACTCTCATGGGGGGAGACACAAAAGAAACAAAAAATACGAGTAAATAAGGAAATGGGTATAATATGAAGCATATCAGATGGTGATAAGTGCAATGGAGAAAAATTAAACAGGGCAGGGAGCTGAGCAGGGCTAGGGGTTGGGGAGGGGCTACATTTTTAATTAGGCTGAAGTTTCCACTGAAAAGGGGACATTTGAGCTAAAACCTGAAACAGGTGAGGGATCGAGTCATGTGGCTATACGGGGAGGAGCGTTCCAGGCAGAGGGACCAGCAAAGGCCAGTTCCTAGAGGTAAGAGCGTGGTTGGCAAGTTCAAGGAGCAACAAGGATGGAGTGAGGTGGGGCGAGCAAAGTGGGGGAGGACGGCAGAGTTAATGGCGTGGTTTGGGGGGAAGGACAGACAGTGGAGGGCCTCGTAGGCAGTGTAAGGACTTTGTGTTTCGCTCTGAGTGACATGGGAGCCCTTGCAGGGTTTGAGCAGAGGAGCAACATGATCCAACTAAGTTTTAAAAGGATCCTCAACACAAATCCCAAGATTTCCACATCTGCCAGCCCCACTCTGGGTGGCCTCTGGGCTCCTGAATTTGGGTCCCTCAGGGGACACAGGAACATGTCTGAGTTTAGGCATCTCCCTTCCTTCAACAAAGGAATAAAATGAAAGACTCAAACCCACCAGCGACAGGAGTCTCACAGCTCAAAACTGGTCCCAGCAGCTGAACGTCTGAGCGCTGCAGCTAGCCTAGACATTTCTTTGAATTTCTTCTAACAAAACCCTCACCAGAATCACTCCACGGTTCACCTTTCAAGTTTCCCAGCCACTGAGCCCTGGCCTCAGGCAGAGTTTGAAGTAAGCTATTTGATCATTCACTTGTTTCTCTGTCAGTCTCCAGACTGGCAAAAAAAAAAAAAAAAAAGAAAGAAAGAAAAAGAAAACGGGCTCTGGATGCAGGGGAGATGTTAGTTTCCCAGCTTTCTAAATCTTCACAGGAAACCGGCTTTGCCAAAGCTCCCTTCAGACTGAGACTGAGGACACAAAGGAGGTCACTTAGGCCCAAAATACACGAAAGGGGGTCAGAATGGAAGGGTCACTGCACCCCAGTTCCCAGAATTTACTCCTCCAAATGCCTGCCTGGAAATGGTTTCCAAGAGTAAGTTACAAGGGAGAAAATCCCACGCCCATTTCCACTCCGGTTGGCTTTGGGTTGAGATGAGGCCTGTTTTAAACTCCACTGCTCATCTGTTTCCTAATCAGGGAGAGAGAGGAAAAGAGCCCTGCTCCTAATGTCTCAGAGACACAGACTGACTTTGATAACATCCCATGACACTTAGATGGCTTTGATAAAAGAGCTGCATATACCTATTAGATGTGGAGTCTCCTGGACAAAATCTGGAAGGCAGCATCCACCTCAGTTTTCCCACCTGTCAAATGGGTGGGATACCACCAGCCCTACTTACTGCCCAAGCAGTCTGGTCAGGATGGAAAAAGAAACAGTGGGAAAGGGCTCTGCCAGGGGCTGGCTCCACTGCAAGAGCAAGAACAGGCCTTAGTGTTTTACAGGCCACAAAGTACCTGCCCACACTCCTGGAGACCCCTGGATGGCCCTCCACCCTTCTTCACCTGGCTCTGTCTGGGAGGCTGCTCATGTGGGCTGTGTCACTGGGCTTCCTCCTCTTGGGCTGACAGTTTCAGCCAGCAGGAGGCACCATGAGGGGAGCTTGGGTGCCCCTCAGAGGGCTGCACATGCCCCAAGACCACAGTCCCACAAGGGGGCACTGTCTCCCCCATCCTTCAGACCTGGAGGTGGTTACAGTTCCTGGCAGTCACAACCCTGCACAGCACAACACTGTCCCTGTCGTTCCCTATATCTTGCCCACACTGTGTAAATGGGCCCTGTAATAAACACCCACGTCCGGTGCGCCACCTGTACCCTGCCAGGACCCTGACTTGATCTAACCTCAATCTTACTGGCAGCCCTGGGAGAGAGGGACCTTCACTTCCTGTTTTTCAAATGAAAAAACTGAGGTTCACAAGGCTGACCTACTTACCAGCCCACACATACTGGAGTCTGGAGCCTGGGCTGTGACCCCACCTGGGGACCATTCCACAGTGCTCTGTGGCCCTAGACTGTGTGCAGAGAAGCGAGGGTGTGAGGGGCGCCCTCTCCAGCTCCCGACTGAAGTTTTCGCTCCGACCTCTATCTCCTCCAGGGTGTGCACCCAGGCCATCTGACCCCGTTGCTGATGTTTAACCCCCGCTTTTACACTGTGTAAGCTGTGGCCTGTGGCACAGCCTGTGCGTTCCTCCACACATGTCTAGACATTTGGCCACAGGCTCCCCTGAACACCCAAACCTCTTGGTTTACCAGCCCTGTGGCTCTGGGCTTAACTTTTCTGTGCCTTGGTTTTTTAATCAGAAAAATGGAGATCACAGTACCGACCTCAGAGGGTCTTTGTGAGGATTAAATGACTTAATATGTGTAAAGTCCCTAGAACACGGCCACGTGCATGGAAGTGCCTGGTCAGGGTTAACTATTATTATTATTGCCGTCGTTGCTGTTGTTATGTCTCAACTCACCAAAATTCTCTCCTCCCCAGATGTCCATCTGGGCATCATACTTTCCCAGGTGGTTAAACCAGGACTTGTCAATCACGAAGATTCCTCCAGCTATGACAGGCGTCCTGGGAGCAAGGAGAGGGAAGAGGCAACACATGAGCTGGGAAGTGAGAAGCCCCTCTAGCTGGCCCCAGGACCCAAGGCCATTTGCCCCCACATCCCCTGCTTGCATAGTCACTGGGTTAGGGTGTCTGGCCACCTCCCTGGCCCCCCACAACTGTTCCCGTGGCCTCTGTCCTCTCTGTCTCCTGCAGGCAGAATCCAAGGGCCCAGAACAGAGTAGCTTTAGATCATACAGCCTCAGGAGCCCTGTTGACTGACATAGGCTCCCAGAGCCTCTCAGGCCCCTGACCCAGGGAAGAAAGGCGTCTCCCCAGAGCCCACAGCAGCCCTGACCTTATGGGCTTGGTGGGGTCTGTCCGGGTCATCTTCTGCTCAAGAGGGATCTGCTCCCACTTGAAATGCAGGCTCCAGTCGAATCCTAAGGGACAGAGCAGGGTGAGGACAGGGATCAGGGATGAGCCTACTGGGGGCTGCTGACCCCCCTCCCCCCTCTCACCACCCCAGAGTCTCCCTTGGTCAGAGCCTCACTTGCAGAGGGCCCTCAACTCTTCATGCAGTCATTCCTTCATCCAGAATGAGATGAGCCCCTGCCCTCATGGAGTTTACAATCTACTGGCTAAGACAGGGACCACAAAGATAAATAAATGAAGGGACAGCATGTCAAGTGGGTGAAAAGTGCTAAGAAAAAGAAAATAAAAGAGGGGTGCCCATTCTATTTCAGTAAGGGTAATCAGGATAGGCTCTCTGATGAGGTGATGTTTGTTTTTTGAGTAGAGACCTAAATGAAGGATAGATCCATGCAGATATCTGGGGAAAGGGACTTCCAGGCAGGGCAGCAGCAAGTGAAAAGGCCCTGAGGTGATTTCCCAAAGGGGAAATGTCTGGGTCCCTGCAGAATCCCACCAACCCCAAGATCTAACGAATGACTGGGTTCATTTATTGTAAGTCCAGGCCACAAACAGGAAATCCCCTGGGCCCATCAGCTCCCAGCAACAGATTTCCTAGAGCAGCACTGTCCAATAGAACTCCCTGCAGTGATGAAAATGCTTTGACTGATATGGTAGCCACTGACCTCATGTGGCCGTTGAGCACTTGAAATGTGGCAAGTACAACTAAGGAACTGAATTTTAAATTTTATTTAATTTTAATTAATTTAAATTTAAATAGCTAAATATGGCTATTGTCTACTGTATTGAACAGCATAGTGCTAGAGTCTAGACTAGAGCAGCCCAAAAGAATTATAATGCAAGCCACAAACATAATCCACATATGTAATTTTTAAAGTGTTCCTGTAGTCCCATCAGAAAAACCCATAGGAAATTAGTTTGAATAAAACATTTTTAATGCAATATATCCAAAACATTATCATTTCAACATGTAATCAATGTAAAGAATTACTACTGAGATATTTTACCTTCTGTCATGCTAAGTCTTAGAAACCTGTGTGTTTTTCATACTCACAGCACATCTCGATTCCGACTAGTCACTTTGTGAGACAGCCACATGTCAAGAGCTCAATAGTCAGTGGGGCTAACAGCCACTGTACACACAGCACAGGCCTTGATCATCTCCAGGGTGCACACTTTAGGAATTCATGCGAGGACAAGGACTCCCCCACCCCAACCCCAAGACAGCTGTCACATCACGGCCTCTGCCAGGACTTGTGGCCATGGTCCCTGGGCTGACAGCATTTGGGAAGTATGTGTCAATGTCTGGGGATAGGGAAATATGAGAGATCAGCCTGGCTATGCCACTGATTGTGCCAGGAGCTTGCAACTGCCAGCTCTGGCCATTTGCCCCTAACCCCAGGGCTCTGCCCAAACCCTCCTCATTTTCTCTTTGGAAGGGGTGTGTGTGTGAGACTGGCACAGCTGGGAGGAGCACCAAGCCAGGGCTTTTGCCTGCCCTCATCTGCCTCTTTTCAGGCCTACAGCCCCTCCCCTGGGAAAAGAACCCACCTCCACGAAGGTCAGCAGATGCTGCAAGGTAGGCGAAATTGTCCAGACTGATGACATCAATGATGGGGCTCACCACGTGGGTGTGGTCCTAGGAGAGGAGATGCGAGATCAAGATGGTGTGAGGCCAGGACTCCTTTGCAAAAAACGGCCCAGTTGTCTTCTCTGAGGGAGGGTCTCTCTGAGACATGGGGCACTCAGTGTTTCCTTCCGGATGTGCCCAGGGCTGCCCCAGAGCCCGGGCAGGCTCCTGGGAGCTGTCTGGCATCACCACACCCAGGCTCCTGAAAGGCCCCACCTGGATCCCATGGGCACAATATTTTCCTGGTCTCTTCTTCTCACGTCCTTTTGAGCCCTGCTGGGATCTCACCTCCTCAGTGAAGCCTTTCCTGACTGCTGCAGGCTGAAGGATTTCTTCCTCTTTTAAGCTGCTCTCACAATCACAGTCTAGACAATTCCTGGGACCATGACTCCCGGTGCTGCCTGAGCTGGCTCTTCTTTTTTTTTTTGTCCTTTTTGAGACCGGCCGCACCGCGCTCAGCCAGTGAGCGCACCGGTCATCCCTATATAGGATCCAAACCCACAGCGGGAGTGCCGCTGCACTACCAGCGCTGCACTCTCCCGAGTGCACCACGGGCTCAGCCCTGAGCTGGCTCTTCTGTTTGGCTTGATCTGCTGTTTTGTTCATTGTCATTTATTATTGTACATGTTTGGGTTGAGTCTTCCCAACTGGACCACCAGCAGCTTGAGGGCTGGAACCCTATGGTCTCCATGTAAGCTGGGGGCCACTTGTCTCATGCCACGTCCACTCCAAGGTCAGACTCACCGTTCCCTCCATCACTTCCCAGAACACAAATCCAACGCCCAAACAGTGGTCAGTTACGTTGATTTTACTGAGGTTTTTGGGGGTGGGAGGTGGTGATGGATTATGTTATATACCACATGCAAAACTTAATCACCCTTTATCAGCCCTCTCTGCTCTCTCCCTCCGTGGAAGGACATGGAGCCTCTTCCTCTCTTCTCTTCCCCAACTCTGCTTTCACTATCAAAATCTTCCTCTGTGACTTGGAATCCAGCTCTGCCCCTCAGCTCACACACTGTCTCAGAGTAACAAAAGCCCAGAGCGGCTGATCAGGGGAGACCACTGATGGTATTTCAGTGCTCCACAAGGCCTTGCCTCATCCTTTCTATAGACTTTTTTGTACTGAGATATAATTCACATACCATAAAATTCACCATTTTAGATGTACTTTTTTGGGGTGGGTGGGGGGTGCCTGGCCGGTACAGGGATCTGAACCCATGACCTTGGTGTTAGAAGGCAAATTCACCATTTTAATGTTGACAATTCATTGGTTTTTAGCATATTCACAACCGTCATCACTATCTAGTTCCAGAACATTTTCATCATCCCAACACACAACCCTAATCTATTTTATATTTCTATGGATTTGCTTATTCTAGACATTTTATATAAATGAAATAACTTAATACATGGCCTTTTGTGACTGGCTTTCACTTCACATCAGGTTTTCAAAGTTCATTCATGTTGTGGCACATATCAGTACTTCCTTTCTTTTTATGGCTGGATAATCTGTTGTTTGAATACACCTCATTTTGTTTATCTGTTCATCAGCCGGTAGGCATTTGCGTTGTTTCTACCTTTTGGCTATTCTGAATAGTGTTGCTCTGAACACGTGTGTACGAGTTTTTGTGTGGACCTATGTTTTCATTTCTCTTGGGTATACACCTAGCAGGGGAACTGCTGGGTCATACGGTAACTCTGTCTCAACGTGTGAGGAACTGCCAGACCGTCTTCCAAAGTGGCTGCCCCATTTTACATTCCCACCAGCCGTGTGTGACGGCTCCTATTCACCCACAGCCTCGCCAGCACTTGCTGTCGTCCGTCTGTGTTACTACAGTCTTCCTAGTAGGTATACAGTGGTATCTCATTATGGTTCTGAGTTGCATTTCCCTAATGACTAATGATATTGAGCATCTTTTCATGGGCTTATTGGCTCTGCATATGTCTAACTTGAGGAAATGTCTACCCAAATCCTTTGCCCGTTTTTAAATTGGGTTGTATGTCTTTTTATGGATAAGTTGTCATGGCCTCATCTTTTTCTGCCATCTGTCCCAATCCTCCGTGTTCTGGAGGGCAGCAAGCACATAGTAGGAGCCCTTCATCCACTCTTCTCTTAGAGAACACCACCCTCCCCTCCATCCCTCCAGGACTTCCCAGCCTGACCAAAAGCTCCCCCAGCACAGGACCCTGCCTCTCCCAGGAGAAAAACTGCATCCAGGATTTCATCCCATTTAATTCTCACAACAACCCAGTGGGAAAAATATAATTATTCCCATTTTTGGTTTTTTTGTTGTTGTTGTTTTATAAAGATGACCGGTAAAGGCTCTTAACCCTTGACTTGGTGTTGTCAGCACCACGCTCACCCAAGTGAGCAAACCGGCCATCCCTATATGGGATCCGAACCCGTGACCTTGGTGTTATCAGCTCCACACTCTCCCGAGTGAGCCACGGGCCGGCCCCTAATTATTCCCATTTTTGGATGACAAAGCTCAATGAGGTGAAGTCACTCTGGGGGAAGCAGACCATATAGGCTTCCTATGATGCCTGCCCAACTTCAAACAGTGTTCCACATGGCCTCATGCCAGGAACACAGTGGCGAGTCCCAAAAGACACCAGCCACCCGAGAAACAGACCAGCTCACCTCCTTCACCCGCTGCAGCATGGGCTGCAGCCACTCGGTGTTGACTTCACAGTGGCTGTCTAGAAAAGTGAGGATGGCAGCTGCGGCCACATCTGCCCCGCGGACTCGGGACCGGATCAGCCCTGCAATGGGGGTGCAATGGGTTGGTGCTGGGACTGAACCATTTTGCTTCCCTGCTGTCCCCCCCCCCAAAGTCCCAGGGCTCCCTGCCCCTTCAGGGACCGAGGTATCCTCTGAGTTACTGTGATTGGACTTCACTCTGTACTCCTGTTCATTTTCTCCCTCCCTCTCTTTCTTCCTCTCATCTGTCCATTAACCATCGTTACTCCAGGGTCCCTCCCTGGGTGCCCTACTTGTGCTAGACACCGTTCCGGGCTCCAGGGACACACTGATCAGTCACAGTTTAGTGAGTAGAAATTGCAATGAAGTGTGGTTTGGTACTGAAGGAGAACCAGAAAGCAAAACCTTTTCCACCTGGGAACCTCTGCCTGGTCCCTTCCAGCCGCACCACCATGTGTGACATGGAAAGAACCTTTAGAATAGGACAGGCTTGAGTTTGTATGCCAGCCCTTTCACTCTCCTTGAGCATGTTCTTTAACCTCTCTGAGCTTCAGCTTTCTTATCTACAAGATTCAGAGAGATGATAATCCCTGCCTGTCAGGATCAAACCAGACAAGGAGAGAGGCTGGTACCTGAGAGGCCTATGTGTGTCGGATTCTGCTCTTCTTCACCCCCGTTCTCCAGCGGTCTCACCCACCACTCACTACCAGCAAAGAGTAACCTGGCTGGTGGCGGCTCCCTGCTCTGGGCTGGGACCTGCCTGGTCAGGAGAGAGAGGCCCAGCTGCTCCTGCCCCTGCCAGAGCAGCCATTTGTGCCCGGTGAACTGTGGGGAAGGAAGGGCCTCATCCTAAGAGCTCTGAGCATAAGTTGCATCTTGGAGAGATTTCCCTGGCCATACCTCTGCTCAGCACTCTGCCTCTATGTAACTAGCCATCCATCTGTCCAAAAGCCCATCAGTCCCATCCCTTTACTCCCTAGGCATCTATAAAGCATCTAGTCATAAATTTACATCTGCTGTTGGCAAAACCCCAGGACAGCATATTTCCAGGGCTGACAGTATCTACAACCCAGTGGCTTGGGAGACATTTTTCTTTGGCCACTTCCATACCAGTTTGAAGGTCTCCCTCACCAACATCCTTGGGGCCCCCCGACTTAACTGGTCTTCCTTAAATATATCTATTACCTCTCTCTCTCTCTCTCTCTCTCTTTCTCTCTCTCTCTCTCTAAAACCTTCAGTGGCTCCCTGCTACCTGCCTTATCAAATCTAAACACTTTTCTCTGGCTTCCAAGGTCTTCTGTCATGTCAATTCACTCCACCCATTCCCCCTACTGACCAGGTCTGGCTTCTCACAGGAAGGGACTATAAGAACAGGGAGGTTAGAAGGCTGGCCTCTGGGTTGGGCACCCACAGGTTGGAATCCTGGTTCCTCTATTCATCACCCTGAGAAAATTACTGACCCTCCTTCAACCCCAGTTTTCTTATCTGCAACGCAGGACAGGGGGCTGTTATGAGGCTTGAACATGAGAATATAGGCAAAGTGAATGCCTGGCACGGACGGGGTGGGCACTCAGGAAGAGGGGCTGGTAGGATTACACGCGTTCTCATGCCTGACCAGTACCTGTGCTTGCAGGGTCCCTGAGGCTGACTTGCCCTCCCTTGCTCCCTTCATCTGTCTCATGACACCTCTCCCACCCCCCGCAGAGGCCGGTTCTTCTACAGAGCCCTCTCTGCTCGCTCCAGCTCTCCTCAGCGCCCTCTCCTCCAATCTCCACGTTATTCATACATAACTATAACTGTCCCGTTGCTGCTGTGGATCCTGACCCTTGGCTACATAATAATCCTCTGAGGGCTACATAATAATCCTCTGAGGGACCGTGTTTTGTGCTTGTTTTGGGTCCCCTAGAGTGCCGTGTGCAATGCTATGCCATAGTGGGAGCTCCCAAACACCTCTTGATTGGAAATGCTTCATTCTTCCCTTTGTTTTTCTCAAAGCCTCATAGCCTGTCTCATTTAATCCTTCTAGTAATTTTGCAAGGTGGAAAGGGTACTATCATTATCCCATTTCTCAAAAGAGACAACTAAGGCAGCCAGAAGTACAACAACTCGCCTACACTTGTGCCATGATAAGGCTGACCTGGGAGAGAAGGAGGGGGTCTTCTGCAGACCCTGGTCCCAGCCACAGGAATGCAGCAGAGCCATGCTGGCTTGGTATGACATGGTGCCAAAAGGGAGTGGAGTGCAAAGGACTACACCAAGATGGGTCCATGGTGGGACTCGGGGTCAGGGGACTCACCTTCCCGCCGGTCGTTGCGCAGGCACTTGACCTTGGGGATCCTGGTCAGGAGCAGACAGTCTTCAGCTGAGGATGCACAGAAGGAAGGCAAGCTCATTCAGACATGGGCATCAGACCACAAGTGGTTTGGCTGCCACGGGAGCTGCCCAGGAGCTGTCCCATGCCAGGCCCAGGAAAGGTCTGGGGATGGGGAGGATTGAAGGGGTAGGGTCGTCATTACTGCCAAAGGGTGGCCCAGCCCCCAACTCCCAGGCCAGAGTGAGGAATGCCTGTAGCTGTGGCATTTCCCCATCCCACCCAGGGAGCACCAGTGAGCACAACAGTGGTTATCAGCACAGCTCTCAAAGAGCTACATTGAAGGGACACTCTTCTGCGATGGCAGTTGTAAAAATGATGAATGTTGCTGATGTCATTTCATTTTTTTAAGTGTCACCTTAGTGTTGTCCCATCCAAAGCAACATTCTTCTTTCTCCTCTTTTGGCACCAGGGAACGGCCAGAGAGGGGTCCTAGAAGAGACTGAGGATCCTCACTGGGGGGCAGAGAGGTCAGTCTGTGATGGCCAGGACAACCTCAAGAGTGCTTGCCTCAGAATCCTGGGGAACCGGGGGTGAGGGTGGGGTAAGAAGGGGTGCAAAAAGGAAGGTGAACACTTACGATCAGAACTGAAGTCATCCACTAAAATGATCTCCTGGATCAAGTTGGCAGGAGTTCGGTTCAGGACACTGGAGCAGCACCAGGGACAGAGAAAGAGATTTAGAGACCACCTTCCATTTACCCCTCCCTGTGCTATGGGGCTCTCCCGCTGCCCAGCTCTGGGCCAGCACATTGGCCATGGGCAACTGCTTGCAAACCTCCTGGGCCCTGATCAGTGGCTAAGAAGCAGTGTGCCCCTCAGGCTCTTCGAAGGACACGGCTGCCTGGACCCTCAGGCACTAGGGACCAATCCCAAATGGGAGGGGCGAGGGGGGCAGTGCTGCCCTAGTTGAGTTGTCAAGGCAGGAGCTGCAGCTGTCTGAAGCTTAACAAGCCCTGCCCTGGGGCAGCCCAGGTGGGCCAGAGCTGCCTGCCCGCCCAGAGGTTGTGAGGCTTTTTCTGGCCTAAAAGGTCAGGAGGGGTGTTCTCAGGAAGCCCCTCCATTCCTTCCCTTCCACTCTTCCTCCACACCCTGAGAAAGGAAACCCAAGCTTCTTTAGTCCCCGGAATACCCCTGGCTACTCCTTTCCAAATCTTATTCTTGTCTAAGTTTATTGAGGAAATGGGGTAAGTGGGGGTTAAACTTGACCACAAGACCAAGCTTAGGAGGAAGACAGAAGGGGCACCTACTGGGCCAGCATCCACCCTCCCAAGGCCTCATGTCCATCTCTGCCTCGCTCTGCTCCTGACCCCTGCATTTCTGCCCTTGTCTTGCAGACCTGACCTTATGTTTGGCTTCTGTGAACTTCTGGGTCTCCCTGACCCTTATTCACAAGCCCCAGCTTCTCAGAAGGATGGACTCATCCTCCCGGTGCCCACTGGTAGGCACGCTGTCTGGCCACAGCCCCCAATCTCAATGTCCTCCCCTGTTAGAGGCTCCGCAGATGCCCCAAGGCCTTGGGGGGTAGCACCACTGAGATGAGGGTCCCATGGCTGGACTTGCCTTTTCACTGTGCGCAGGAGGGTGGAGCGGGCCTCATTGTGGAAGGTGATGATGACGCTGGTGGCCGGCAGGTCCAAGGAGTAGGATACGGATGGGCAACTGAAAAGGGAACAAGTAGGTCAGAGGCCAGCCATGGGGGCATCTCAGGGCAGACTTGAGGGCTTTCTTTGTCCAGTCTACTGCCCCCTAGAATACTTTTGTGAGACAGAGAAGGCAAGCCTGAAGCCAGGATGCAGCCCCCTGCCCCTCCATACCCACGCTCCATCCCACACTGGCCCAGCACCAGGTGCCACCCAGCCTGGGGTCTCTTTACCAAAACCCTAGAGCACCCAGAGTTCCCATCCACTGACGTGTTTAGGTGGGCTCCCCAGCGTGTACAGACACTGCAGAATCTAGCCCTGAACCAAACAGGCCAAGTGAGATAAAATGGAGGAGGAGAGAGAGAAAACACCTCTCTTTTGCCTTCTGATACGTGGAGCTTCTTCATTCTCTTCCCCCAGCTCAGGACATTTGGTAGGATCTGGAGAGGAATCACCCCCACCCTGCCCATCGGCAGGGGCATCCCTCCCTCTCACTGCCCAGCACTAACAGCCAGGGGAGCAGCTTCCTCTGCTTCTCCGGGTCCTGGGTCTCCTGGAGGAAACAGGCCTCTGAGAAGGCACAAAGGCATCTCCCTCCACCTCTCCCGCCCCAGCAGCTCTGGGCTCCACCATCTACAGATGCCACGTTTTCGGCCCACTGGCTTTCCCCTCCTCCAGAAAGGGAATTAAAACAATCCATTGCTGCCAACTTCATCCCTGTCCTCTCTGCGAATGCTTCATTCGTGCTCCCGGGGGCCAGCTGGGAGCTGGTTTTCATAGCCATCATCTTTATTACAATTGCTCTCTGACTATTCCAGCAGTGACTATTTTTTCATTATGGCATTCATTCTACTGACAACAGCTTACAGTCCAAATTCCCAGGCCCATTTCCTGCCCCGCAGAACATACCAGGTCAGACAGGCAGGAGTCCCATTAGCCTGGGACCCCCATGGGAGAAATCCTAAGAGGCTTTAAAATAATTCTCCTTGAGAGAGGATGTGGGGTAGTAGTGGGGGTGGGGGAGACGGATTCTCCTCCCCTGAGAAATCCTGCTTGCCAAGTGCCATGCTCCCAAGGGCCAGCTGATGGGGGGCACGAGTGGGCTAGGCTGGTTGAGATGGGGATGGGGTGTGCTGGGTGAGGTGGACACCTCCTGGGCTCCCCCTCCCAGCACTGACCTCCAAGGCCCAGCTCTCTGTCCTTGTCCCCCAGCCATCCAGTGCCCAGGAAGGAAGGAATCTGGATAACGCTGCCCATTCTCTCCCTGCAGGGGGCAAACCTACCCACACCCCATCAGGCCCTCCAGTCCCCTCCTCCCTGCATTTCTCTGGGATTTATATCTATGAGGATGGGGATTTATTGGCTCCCAGGAGCCAAGAGTCTCTGAAGGGATTTGTCCCAAGCCCATATTTTCAGTTTGGCGCTGGTGGGGTTTTCTTTGTGATCCAAGTAGGTCTGTCTTAAGTGGTTACGTCCCTTTGCCGCCCTTGAGGGGGGCTTCCTAGATTGAGGTGGGACTGGGAACTAGCCCGACAGTTTGGAGTCCAGCAGAAACTGCACCTGGGGGCTGAGAGGAAGAGGGAGGCTGACCCCAGCCTATCCCACTCCATCGTGGGAGACCCTGCCCACCCAAGCCAGCACCTCCTTGCTCCCCATTACACACATATGCATGCACCCCACCACACACACACACAGACACACGCCCTGATCCAGCTGTGCTTCTGAGAGGGCCTGGCAGCAGTATATGGCACCTCACCAACCCACCACTGCCTTAGATTTAAAAAGTCTCACTTTAAAATGTACATAGCCCTAAGGGCAAGTCCCCTTTAAGTTTCTCAGTGAACACTTGAGAAAGTTCAGAGTTGGGGGTGGGCTGAGAGAGTGGGCAGAGATTATCCAGGCCAGGTCCTCAATTCACAGACTGGGATCACCAGATACTCTAGGCCCTGGGCACTAGGTTGGCCCTGGCTAGGCTGCCCATGGAAGGTTGCTGAGTGGAGGTACACAGACATAACCTCATCTGCAACACAGGCAAACATGAGGGGAGACTGCCCCAGGACTAACTAAGAAAGAACTTCTGAGGCCTGGAAGTGGCCATTAGACTATGTAGGAGGCCTTGCCAAGTGATAGGACTATTGCCTTATTTGGTACATGAAAGGTTTCTGGAGGCTGACAGTGCTATGGGGACAGGACAGAGAGGTCAAGGTCTGGGGGTCCCCAGCCCTGCATCTTGCACAGGCCACCAAGCCCACTGGACTTCAGGCACCTCCGCGAGTGACGAGCAAGGTGGTAGAACCAGGCCCCTCTGCACACTTATCTCACATACAGCCTTCGTGCTGTGGAGTAGCTGCTTCAGAAGTAAAAGCAATCTGGACTCCAGTCATTCTCACCTGCCCTCAAACCAGGACCAGGCAGAGCCCCGCCTGCCTCTGAGTACTGGTGGGGTCACCTGACGCAGCTCCTGTGGGTCCCTGAAAGCTACAAGAACAGCAGGGATCGGGTCTTTCAGATGTCTGCATGGAGCACAGAAGAGGGCCCCTGAACTAGCTGGCATTGGCAAGGAACTTTCCCAGAGGAGAGGACACTGAGCCAAGTCTTGAAAGATACAGGTGGGGTAGGGGAGATGTGTTCAGGCAGAGAACAGCATGTGTGAAGAGGAGGAGAGGGGAGGAAAGAGGAGCATAGGATTGTGGGAGCGTTACGTGCTTGGTGAAATGGTAGATGAGGACAGGTCATGCGTGGCTGGGGGGCGTGCCTTGGCATAAGGAGCTCAGAGTGTTCCTGTAGGTGATGGCAGGAAGAGGAAAGACTGGAGGTGGTGCTCGTCCTCTAGAGGGGACACACAAGGACCTGAATCAATGAGGGGGGTTAGTGACTTGCCCAAGGTCGGTCACTTCAAGTGAGCTGAGTCAGAGCTGGGGTTAAATGGAGGCTTCCCTGAGCTGGTCTAGGACCTCTCCCACCTCGCCACACTGGGAGAACTAAGAACAAGACTGGGAAGCATTTCTGGGAGTTGCAGGAGGTGGAGCAGTGGGCAGGAGGGAAGGGATGTCAATGCGGTGGTGCACAGCACTCCACTGTTTGCACTGGGTGTGGCTGGGGGCCCATCCTCACCTCAGGCACCACCAGTAGGGTGCAACAAGAGCACCTGGCTCACCTGACCCCTCGGGCCTCCCTGTGGTCCCCTGGCAGGTTACTCTTGCTGGGACGTCAGACTGAGGTGCTGAGGGTCCTCCCCGGCCCCGGCCCTAGCCCCAGCCGGGGGTTTCCTTGGCCTTCGCAGGCCCTCAGTAGGTCAATGAAATAAAGAGGAGTCAGGAAAGCAGCTGAGGGTGAGGGCCTTTAAAGGTCTAAATCACTAGACTGAGTCCAAGAAAATCTTCCTCGTTTCTTAAATACACGTGATTAAAAGAAAACAAGCTAAACAATGTCGGCCTTTTTTCAACCTTTCTTTCTCTGTTGACAATGGCGGCCACACCTGTAATGGCGAGTGTCCCGGATGGGCCGGTCTGGGCTCAGCTTGTCGCTCTCCAGTTGATTGAAGGCATGCTGCCTGTAGGGGTCCTCTCCGGCTTTCAGCTGCTTGGCCGACAGGTACGCCTTCTCATCGAAGCCTCTGGAGGGTGTTCCTGTCACCTGAGACAAAGGTCAGCATCAGAGGGGGCCACAAGCAAGAGGATTCCACCACATGGTGAGCGCTTGGTACTCACCAGTGGGAAGCCAACTGCAGTAGCTCATTCGTACCTACCCTGACTCTCCGAGGAGGAGACCATTATCTCCCCCACTACACAGAAGAGGAATCTGAGGCTCAAAAGGCATTTTTAAAAAGTGCCCAAGGTCAGAACTAGTAAGTCACAAGGTCTGGATTCAGACTGCTCATTCTGATCTACCTTTGCTGGATATGGAGAGGGTGAGACCTGGAGCACACTAGACTCCTAAGATGAGGTGTCCTCATGGGACTACAAACCAGAGAGGAGCCTGCCGAGCACCCTGCATATCAAGTTTCCTGGGGATGGACTTGGGCCTAATGCTGGGCGAGGGATATAAGAAGTGCCTGATCAGTAAAACACCAGGCCTGGACAAGCTTCTGTGGAGAGGACTGCCTGTCAGGACTAGCAAGCCCTCACAGGCTAATGTCTGGGCTGTCAGAGCCCATATGCACAATGATGCATCTTCTCAGGGACTTTTGCTTGCTGCTGAAATAGCCCCATGTCAGATCCACTGGACCCACTGGCACTAAGTGCTGGGGAGTGATAGATGACAGACGCCACGGCCCAGCCTCCCTCCTCCTTAGCCATACCCTACCCTGTGCTCCCAGAGTCCCCAGTGAGAGACACTGGGAAAGGACACATCCGAGATGAATGGATGGATGTACGCATCCTGACATCTCATTACTTGAACCAAACTGCTGGCCGGATGCTCCCAGAGTGCCGTGAAATATCATCAACCGTGCATGCATCTCAACTCCAGCCCTTCCACCCAACCAGTGGCCCCAGCCCTGAGAGGCGACAGGAAAGCAAGTGAGAATTGTCCCTTCACAGAACAAAAAGGGATGGTCCCAGCAAGGCAGCTGGACCTGCGGGAGAGGGGACTGCTGTGTGGGGTGATCATGGGGACTGCGCCCCAGAAGCTCAGGGCCTCCATGTTTCCCTGAGAGTCCAGCCCCCGACTTCACTGGACAGGAATTCTGAAGGTCCAGGGAGCTCTCATCTGAACTGCTGCCACTCTGTAGTGTTGAGCCTACACTAGTGTTGCTCTCCTGAGGGCAGGGCCAGGGAGATCTTGTAGCCACATGCTACACAAGATGCTCAGGGTGTGTATGTTCAGGATGACATGCTGCGGCTGCCGCTGCACTGTAATTCTGAGTTGGTGCCATGGCAGAGACTGAACAGATGTGGAAGAGCCCCCCATGGACTCAAAATCCATTTTAGGAAAGACAGGAGGCAAGAAAGAAGGGAGGGAGTGAGGGAGAGGGAGAATGTTCTGGCTTGAGCTCCAAGTTGCCAGAAGGATCCAAGCTGTCCAACACTCAGAGTGAGAATGAAAGGGACAGCAATCCTTTGTGTCCTTCCCACCCAGAAAAATAAAGTGCCAACTCTGCCTCCCACCCCCACCCCATCTTCCTCCCAGCTCCAGGTCAGAGAAACAGAAAGCAGCCTCCAGTCAATGGCCAAGAAGCTAAAATTGAAGAAAAACTGCGGAGAGATGATTTTCTTGAAGCTCCCAGAGGGAGAGTATGTCACTTAATAATCCTACAAGTCGGCTGTGGGAAATAACCATGTTTATTTATTTAGGACTTATGGCCACTCTGTGGGCTCAGGAAACCTCTGGATCCTCATCCCACATTCACTTATTGCCCACTAAACATTGATTGAGAGTCATCCATCTACCAGACACTGGGGCACCCTTGTGGGAGCTTCAAGGATCACCTGAGCATTCATTCATTTGTTGATGAATGCTTCACTTCACTCATTCACTCACTCACTTATTCATTCAACAAAGCTCCGCTGGGCACCTCCTTTGTGCCAGGAAAATGATGTCAGTTTCTAAGACTGTACCCTGTCCCCAGTCTGCTGCCTTCTTTCCACACCTCATTCAAAGCTTCCTCAGGGCCACAGAGACACTCAGTGGAAGAATATCTGCTCAGGCCAAGGTTCTCCAGAGAACTTGCTCCCAGGGCCTCACAACTGAGTTAGACACCTCAAAGATGCCATCAGGAAAAGTCTGCTGTTCCCCCCACAGACCCATAGCCTCTGAGTCGTCCAACCCTTCTCCAGGTAGCCCCAGGGTCTGGGGTTAGACCCTTTGCCCGTGAGACACTTGTGAAGAAGGGTGCCATGGAAACTCTAGGCCCAGTCCCTCCCAGAGGTCTTAGCTATTCTTTCACAATGACCCAGCAGTCCCTCAGGTTGGGAGCTGAAACATCAATTGGCCTTGAGTCAGCCAAGTGGAGGGGATACTGAGGAAGGGGAGGATGTGGCTCATGGTAATCCCATAACCTCTGCAGGGCTGTCACTTCCTCTCTCCTCAGCCCCTCCCTGGACTCACTCTAGTCACCACCCAGAGCTATTCCACCTCTGATAGCTAAACCCCAGTTCACATGTGCAGACCATACGTCATTTCCTTCCAGCTCCTGAACTCCTCCTTTTGCCATTAGTCCCATTCTTTGCTCTTGAGACTTCCAGGCCTTTGAATATCCCATGAGAACCTCTAACTTGGCATCTCAATGCTAATTCCCCATTTGTACCCAAAGCAGCCGCTTCTCCTGTATTCCCTGTTACAGAGACAGGCAGTTCCATCTCTGTCCTCCAAGCCACAAATCCAGGGTCATCCTTGATGTCCTTCCCTGTGCTCCACAGCCTAACTCAGACATCTGCCCTGTGTATCCCTAGATGGTGTCCCATAGGCATACCACTAGCCTTAACTCAACAAACATTTATTGACAAATCTATGTGCAAACACTGTGCAAGAGGCTGGGAATATGGAAATAAACAAAAGGCAGAAGTAAAAAAAGGTCCCCAGAAGAGGAATCCAGGAATCTGGCCCCTTTCCTGCCCTGTCCATGCCAGGCATGGCTGTGGAGGATCATGGAGAAGAAAGTCCCAGCCCCAAACTTAGAGCATGGGCAGCTGGTGAACTGACCATGGAACCTCACCCCACCCCAACTCCAGCTGGGGCAGAAGTCTGGATGTGTTGCATGTACCCTGGGCTGGTGACCCAGTGAATGCTATTTCCCTTCTTCTAAAGGGGTATTGTACTGTGGCTATCCTGTTCTTCCATCCACAATGCTTACCAAGCATATCACTGAGGGAGTAAATGCATCATTTGGCACTCGGCTGCAGGACCAAGAGGAGCTATATCTGGACCAGCCTGAGAGATGAGATCCTGAGCTTGGAGCCACCGGATGGGACTGGCGCTGCTGCCCTTTCTGTAGGGGGGAGTGTACTCTGGGCTATTTGTGAATTCTTATGTCAGGCTGGGGCACATGTCACATGGCACTGACGTTTGTGCTTTACTTCTCTTTCTTTTCCACTAGATGGTGAGCTCCTCATTTTTGACCTTCCTGCACCTGGCACAAGGTATATGCTCAACAGGTGTTCGCTGAATAAAGGAATGAATGAATGAGTGAATGCCTAAATACTGTCCCTGCTCTCACATTACTTACAATCACCTGGAGAGAAAACAGCAGCAAACAAATGGGATCCTCTGACACATCACGTGACATTGGGAGACCACTTTACCACAGAGTGCAAGCCTCGGAGCTCATAGTGGCCCAGGGAACCCTCTCTGAGCAGGTGACCTGTCACCTTGCTGAACTCAGCTGCTGCTGTTGTCCCTTACTCACTGTGCTCCAGCCACACTGACTCCTTGCTGTTCCTTGAGCCCACCAGGCACCCCCCTTAGCCCTGTTGCTCCTTCTGCCTCCTTCTGGAAGGCTCTTCTCCCATATGTCTGCCTGGCTCCCTCCTTCGCCTCCTGCAGGGCTCTGTGAGCCTTCCCGACCACCATATGTAAAGCTGTGGTCCCAACCTGACCCTCACATTCCCTGTCCTCCCACCCCACTTTCCTTTTCCTCACTGCACTTATCACCATCCGATATTCTACATGTATTTTACTCACTTATTTTATCTTTTTGGTCACTTCTCTCCACAAGATTATGAGCTTCACAAGGGCAGGGATTGTCTGTTTTGTTTAATGTTGGATCCCTGGGTGATCAGAGGCACTCAGAAACCATGGCAAATGGATAAATGTGTAACCTCAAGCCTCCCACTCCTCCCCAGATGCATTTGGCCAAACACACCACTTGAAACTTAGGTGGACCAAGCAGATGACAGGGTAGTGTTTGCCTGCCTTACGGATCTTCTTCTCTACTCATATGCTCCTGGCAGGACTGTCATTCCCTGTCCCCCTGTCCCCCCAACACCCCAAGCACCACCACAGGGGTGAGCACAAGACCCAGGCTAGGTCAATTTTACTACTGCACCCCTAGACACAGTGATTGGTTCAGAAACGGTCATTGATTTGATCTGGGCCAATCAGAATCCTCCCTGAGACTTTTCTATATGATGAGCTCTTTTCATCAGCACCGCTAAGCTCGGGATATTAGAATCTTCTGCCTATCACATGGAGAAATCTTGTCTGCAGAATGAAACCAAGAAGAAACAATCTGAGCTAAGAGATGGAAAGAAAGAGCTCTACAATGTTGCATGGGTCCCTTTAGCCAGACGTATCTATCTATCTGTGTCTATCTATCTATGTCCTTTTTTTTTCCTAAATGGTTTGAGTTGGGTGTTCTTCTCTAGGAACCAAAAGTTCAAACATATTAGTCCTTCAGTCCTTTCAATGAATAAAAAACCATTCTCCAAAAGTAAAAAGTAAAACCAATGAAAAACCAGCAAATGAGCCATCGATGTCAATGTCACAGTGTAGGTGGCAGCCATCCATCCCAAGATATCAGGCTGGTGTCTGGCGTTTGGCCCAGTGGCTTGAGTCCAGAGGCAGGTGGGGCATTCCCAGCCTTCCCCAGCAGGCAGGGCTGTGTGCTCAGGCTTTGAGATGGGGGTTCCATCTGGACCACGGCTTCTGAAGCCCTTGTGTTGCCATGGTGAGGAATGAGGGTTGGGGAGACAGTGGGTGATGAGTGACGGCCTGATGAGCCTCCCACATCCTTCCAGCCTCCTGCAGAGAGTTCTTGGCTGAAGTTTAGGCAGTCGCCTCCTTCTCCAGCCTTTGTCCTTTTAGGGAGAGCCAAATCCAGCACTTCCGTGTCCAATAAGGTCAATCACATCTGAAATTGTTTAAGCTGAAATAATGACGCTGCTCTATAAAATGGGAGGAATTACTATACATCTTGGAGAGTTTTATTTTTAGTCCATCACTTCAATTAGACTTTGAAACTTGCCTGACTTTCTTCACTTTTTTGTTGTTTTTCTTTTCCCAGCTAGATTTGCTTATTGCTTCCTGGACTGCTAAATTGAGGAAATAAACAGCAAAGGGGAAGGTTTAAAATAAGAAAGGAAAATATTTTCCATGTCATTTTCATCAAAAACAGTTCAACCCAAGTCCCTAAGCCTTATAAATTTTCCTTTAAAACATACACATACCCCTAAATTTTAGATTTAAACAACTCCAACTCCTTTTAAATAATTGCTGCCCAATTTCCTTTTACTGCCAGTAAAACAGGTACCTGCTGGGTTTGCCTTTCACTAAATTTCAATGAAACTGCAAATAAAAAGTCTCTGGCCCTATTTTATGGATTGCTTCTGACTTTTTTTCCTGAGTCTGCTATAAACCAAAAACACCTGGTGAGCAAAATGTGATTCCTGACCACTCCCCACTCCCCTGGGAGCAAAATCTCTTCTGATGCTCTGTCCTAAGTTGAAAGATGGCCATTCATTAGCAGAACCGGAAGGCTAAGCAATGATTCAACATCTCTGAGCTCAAGGTCTCAGGTTCCACCTCTCCCAAATGAAAAGGCAGGTCCTATAGGGCCTCCTGGAGACCTGCCTCAGGATGTAGCCAACCCTGCTTGGCTGCCAGAACCAGACAAGATGCTGCAGGCGGCACAGGGCCAGGAACCTCAGGTGGGTACATGGGAACACTGCGTAGGGTTATCAAGGGTCCCTGAGGGTCCTGCCCCAGACACGTCCTCATCTCCCATTTCACATTGCCCCAAAAGCAGTAATTATAGTGGTGACCAGCCAGGATTTTGAAATCTGATGGCCCTGGGATAGAATGCTGGTTCTTACTGCCCTCTGGCCTGGGAAAATCACTTACCCTTTCTAAGCATATTTCTTCATCTGGAAAATTGGAATTATCATGAGGATTAAAGGAGATGATGTATATAATGTGCTTAGCACAGTATCTGGCACATAAATTGAAATTATTAATTATTATTATTATTATCTCACCTGTTTTTTTTTTTTTTTTTTGTCTTTTTTCGTGACCAGCAACGGATCGCAACCCCCAGTGTCGCGCCCGCACCGGACC